CAAGCATATTCTCGAACTCTATTGAATGTTATTCACAACAGTGCAAACAAGATGGAACCTCTTTTTCATCGCAATAATCCTGACTTTCTGCAGCCTGCAAAGACCAATTTTGATGTCGCTTTCCAGTTTGTTGGATATTTGTTTCACACAAAACGTAAAATGGGAACAATACTTTAGCAAAGTCATAATCCTCAAAGAGACAAATTCTGTTCCATAAGCCTGTCAAGTTCCAAACCCCTAAAACACTTTAGTTATCGGAAAACTATCAAGAGTTCTAGAAAAAATATTAACGTCTACTATATGCCAACCATATAAAAATGAATTCCGATCAGCAGTTGATTTCATTTCCTATCAGCAGTTGATTTCATTTCCTATCAATACTCTGGATCCCAACAAGGGGGCGTGTATGGCACAGTAGTCGGAGGTGCCCTGCGATACACGCGTGGAATCGATCCCCGCGCTCGTGGCTCACCAAGCCTTTCATCCCTCCGGGGTCGGTAAATTGGTACCAGACTTGTCTGAGAGAATAGCAACACTGGCTCGATACATCGGTAGACCAGCGCGAGTCATTGCAAAGGCCAGATATGCATTCAATCACTTCCAAGCGATGATTAATGAAGTCTAATGCATGGCGCATCCCTCAGGAAAAGGTGAGCGCTGATTTTCTGTTTCCTTAGTTGGTTGGTGGCTTCCTTAATAGGCCAGAATGCGACCTCAGTTGGTCTCTTTTTCGTGCCTAAATTCGCTTTCATTGTCGTTCTCCACATCTATTGAACGCCCAAAGTACACGTACAAAGTGGTCGCTGTGGTCATAGAACCACAGTTTGATCTACCTGCCCTACCACTATGGATTTTTCATGGATTGGGTCTTCTTCCGATTTATGCGTAGTCCGATACTTTTTCTCAATTCGTTGAGTTCGTTGATCATCGTTTCTGCTTCGTTGGTTCTTCATAAAAAATGACTATGTCGTCGACGAACGACAGTTTTATAGGAATTTTCCATCAATATGTATGCCTTTCTCATCCCAATCGAGTGACTTCATTATCCACTGCAGTGCGGAACTGAACAGCTTTGGCGATATTGTGACGCCATGTGGAACCCCTTTTCCTATGGGTATGGTAAGAGGTCGGTGCAAAAGCTGTATTTTCGTAGTGCAGTTCCGATAACAGTCAGACAGAGTTCTTACGTAGGACGGGTTCACTTCTTGGTCGACGAGCGGTGATAGCATTGCATTTGTCTCCACATTGTCAAATGCGTTTTCATGCTTCACAAAAGTTAGGATTAGAGGCACGTGGTATTCCCGACAAACTACGATGATTCTGGACACAGTTTAGATCTGCTCCATGCAGCAGAATCCTTGTCTGATTTCTGTTTCCTCGGCTGGTTGTACCTCAACCAATTTCCTTGATATGTGCGATAGGATAATCTTCGTGAAAAGCGTATAGAGTATACTCAACAAGCACATCGGGCAATGGCTATAAAGATCTCTTCGCTCACATTTCTTAGGTAGGGATGACCATGGTCGACGTTCACTGATCTGGGATTTTTTCCTCTTTAAGGTAGAATGTCATATGGTTTGAGAGAAGTACATGTACATTTGCTTCCAGCTCCAAGGAAGTGGGCGGTGATATTATCGGATGCTTAAGTTTTGCCTTTTTTTCATGCTTTCTATCGCAACTCGAGCTTCAAAGGGAAGAATCCCGGGAGGATTTTCACCGTTGGAGTTTTCGTGGCCCAAGGTGGGGATTGCTCCATAGAAAAGATAGGTGTAGAACTTTTCAGTTATTAATTCCATATCATGGCGATAAATTTTGGTAGTCCCATTTCCTTGTTCAGCAATCGCGAAGTTGTTAAGCAGCATACATTTTAGGCAGTATCGCCTTCTTCAGAGCCGCTTTTTACGTGACTTCCAATGAGGAAGATTAGAACAGCTCAAGCTGTCAGTAGCCGCCAGCGTCAACTACTGTTGTATTGTATTATGTTTCTCTGTGGAAGTAAATGTATGCTGTTTAACAACCTCGCGATTGCTGAACAAGAAAACGACGCATTCATATTCCGATGCCGAGGTTAATAGAAAGTCGATCCTGGGAACAGTCCCAATTCCGTTCACTAGATCAGATGGCGGAACATTGTGGTCCAAAAGACTTCGACAGTACCCCTTCAGTTATTGATTTCGTTTTACAGCTACTTTCAATAACTTTTCCTGCCTGTACCCATGTAGATCTTCCTGCAAAGTTCTTCTGCAGCTGGTATTTATTACCAGCCGTGCCAGGTGTGCTGTAGCAGATCATGATTCAGGCTCCTACCCGAGCAACGCCTAAGTGGTGATGGAGGTGAGATCTGATCTTCTTGCTTGAGAAACTTGGGCGAGTCTAATCTTTATAGGGTAATAATAGGCTATCTTTCTTACATATGTCTCAACAGTAGCTTTTTTTCAAAACTGTAGTATTGTAATACCATAACGTAGTACCATTTTAAAGCTCCTTTTATACATTCTCACCTCACGAAGTTGAATTGTGAATTGTGCTTATAAATAAATATTCGATTTCAAAACAACAGCTTCGATAAATCAAGTTCTACGAATTCAAGCGTGGATGTGCGCAGTGCAAACGGCCCGAAACAATATTGAGACATGGGGCCAAAGAATTGTTAACGAACGCAAAGTGCAGTGCGGTTTGAAAGATATAAACGTGGCGAATTCAACCTTGAAGATGATAACGGACATCTTTCTATTATTGACGACGATGAATTGAACGCTTTTGTGGAAGCAGACATATGCACGAATGATAGAATTCGAGAACCACAATGATACTGAGATATTTGCAAAACTTGAGCCCTAGGTCATACGGGTGATTGCTGATGGCACCGTTAGAGTAAAAATACTGGCTGAGAGAAAGGCAGAACGAAGGCCTCTGTGGTGAATTGCCTAATACCTAAGCTCCTAGAGATGGTAATTGCGGTTCGATCTGGCCTGGAGTTCAAGTTTTGGAAATATCTCGGCATCACTGTGGTTGTTTCACATAATATCCTTCCGTTAAAAAATAACAGTCAATAAGTAAAACTTGTTCGAGAATTTGCAGAACTCGGAATAAGCGTCTAAACTGCTCCGATGCATCTAAAAAATTTGGAAAGTCAAAGAAGCTTGACAAATGGCTGCCGTACGAGTTGAATGATTACCAAAGAATTCGCTATTCTGAGATATCTTCGATGCTTCTTCTATGCAACCAAAACGACTCGTTCTCGATCGTATTGTAACATGCAACGAAAACTGGATCTTTATGATGGTCCACGACGATCGGCTCAGTGGTTGTACCGCGATAAAGCTCCGCAACAGTTCTCAAATTCGAAATTACACCAAAAGAAGGTCACTTTGACCATTTGGTGATGTACAGCTGGTTTGATCCAGCACGTTTTCCTGAATGCGAGTGAAACGGCTACGGCGTAGAAGCTCGTCGAGCAGATCGACGAAGTGCAAAAATTCAACGGCCGTTAGTCAACATAAAGGACCAATCCTTCACGATGATCAGTAGCTACTCGTTGCCCTACCTACAAAACAAGCACTGAGCGAGCACGGTCACTAAACTCTGCCTCACCCACCGTACTTGCCGTGCCTCTCCCTCACCGACTACCACTTCTTCAAGCATCTCGACTGCTTTTTTTTCAGTGCAAGGAATGCTTCAAAACTAAGCCGAGGCTGGGATTGTCTTCAACGACTTCGTCACCTTCAGAAGCCCAAAAGTTTATGCAACCAATAATAGCAAAACCCGTCTTTCATTGGCAGAACTGTAAATCCTAATAATGTTTATTTCAATAAAGTTTATCTTAGACTGAGAAATGCCACTTTGAGAAGAGATTGGAACCCGACATTAATTTTCAGAAAATCTAATAGAAGCTGCAGTTCTAGAATAGTCCGTATATTTCAGACTGTTTCCTATAATCTACTCGAGTGCCCTGTAGTTCATGACGTCATATGGAAAGAAAATGTGGGGCAGTATCGTCTACTTTGATCGTCTACCTTATGTGGAATATGTTAACTTTGGTGACAGTTATACACCTAGCCCAAGTTTTCCGAAACTTGGTTGTCAAATTAGTAAAACTGTTCGTTGATTAACGAAGAAACTGAACATACACAGTCGACATCTACTCTCCATTTCCTTTGATTTGGCGTTATGCTGCGGTGACATCTGGAATGCTAAATTCAGTAATATTGCGAAAAATTAAGCCTTTTTCACTCCATCAGATCGTAGTAACAATTCAGAAAGGGCATGGAATTGATAAGCTCATGTCGCTGCTGATTATGACCCTCAAAAACTATAAATTAGCAACGCTTATCTCGAGTAATGCGCAATCTTATCGACTCTGATTAAATCCTTTCCCTCATACTATTATCATGTAAGAAATGAATGGCAAAGCTCCCAGCGATGATCAACCCTCATGGATATGCTAAGCATCCAATTTCATCATATCGTTAGAGGTTGAGAAGGAATTGATTTAATGCACATTTGGTCTATACAATGAGTTGCGGTGGCCTACCACTGCATCAGGTCAGTGCTGCTATCCTTCTAGATAAATCCGGCACCAATGTGCAAACCCTAGAGGGATGGTGGAACATTTACAGCGTCTGAGATGCGAGATCGAACCAACGACCACGTGTGCAATACGAGACATCTCTAACAGCTGGGCTACATGCGTCCCCCAGTATTACTATATACAGGATCATAATGACACTACTAGATTCAAGCAACTTAATTAAAAACGAAGAAAACCCGCTCAATCGTCATAAAAAAATTTGTCGGAATCTAACCATTCAAAAGCCGAATTCCATCTGGTAGAACCAATTACGACGCAACTGTACAAGATTGCAGAGATTCTTTTATTATGAAAAATGAGGTCATTACAACAACATAGAACTCAGACACTACAAGATCCGAAACAATATGTATCGGTTCACTCGATCGATAACGTAAAGCAACCATATATAGTACTCTAACAAATCATGCTATTTCTGTGCTTTTTCCGCAAGCTCTTCCATGAGCTCGGTATTCTGCTTTGCCTTTTTCTCCCATTTCAAACGATTCTCGAAGAAATTGAGCTTCTCTTCGTGATGGTCCAATTCAGCCAATTCGTTTGCTATTTCTCGAGCACGAATCTGAGCAATTAACACGCTACAAAAATCACCTATGATTGCGATATGAAGAGAAATGTGCAATATCCAGTGGATGACCATACTACGAAGAAACATCACAATTACTTGAAATATAATCATAACGATGATGAGATATTTGCAAAACTCCGGACCGCCGTTGTCTGTGGTGAGGATCGAACATCATTATGGTCATAGTTCACATAAAGCTCTGCCATTAGAAAAAAAAGATACGAAATAAAAAGTAATGACATTATAATTCTTGTATACACAACTAGTCCTCTACAACAACAGCTGATTTTCTTGGCAATATCAATTATGACATTTTCAATATGGTGTCGTAGAAAGAACAGGAAAATACTCCGGTAAACTTTCTAAATGTCTGCCATAACATAAATACAGCTACTTCCTGAGATGTTTGGTTGGAATATGCATTGTAGTGAAACGGTAGTCATGGGATTACTATGTACACGTCATTACCTCATTTTATTAAAGTGCCCAAATATCAGAAATATAGCACAAATTTTCTAAATGTACCCTTTACCTAAAAAAACGAGTGGTTCAGGTTTCCTAAAACATTGGGCCGTCTTAACACAACCACTTTCGAAGAAGGTTGAACCAACGTTCTTCAATTCTACACTCATCAATATATTGAGCATATCAAACATGACTGATTCATGACTTCGACACTTTTCTACTCCTTATAACTAACAAAATTACCAGCAGTTTTCTACAATCTTGTTTCAGCTGACGTTGTTTGATATAATAGCCATATTCTTCCAAAAACATAAAATTTGATGCACAGATAATTCAATGCACATGTGACCTATACAATCACTTGCGGTGGCCTACTGTGGTATCAAATCTGTATTTTTATCCTTTCAGTCGGTCTTTCCTGCAAAATTGTTTCTTTCGAAAACTGCGAAATCTTTCCAAAATTTGAAAACAGCATCTGTATTCTAAGGAGTCTCAAAAGCATAACAGGAGGGGGCATCGACCCGTTGGCTATATTTCTTGACGTCGATTCCAAAGAAATATAATGCCCTCCATGGCTATCAAATCAGTGGAATCCAGTCCTGGCATATGCAAGAGACAATTTGAGACTTTCTTTGCGGCCGCCTGATCGACACGAAGATTAATTAGAAGATTGATAACAGATGCAATTACAAAAATACGAACAGTACACTTTAATAGTTCCCAGGATCGACTTTCTCTTAACCTCGGCATTGGAATATGAATGTGTCGTTTTCTTGTTCAGCAATCGCGAGGTTTTTAAACAGCATACATTTACTTCCATAAAAACACAATACAATACAACGCTAGCTGACGTTTCGGCAATATCGCCTTCTTCAGAGCCGTTTTCGTGACTTCCAATGAGGAAGTTTAGAACAGCTGATTATAGTCGCATGTGGTTGACGACTCTCATTGGAAGTCACGAAAAAGCGGCTCTGAAGAAGGCGATACTGCCGAAACGTCAGCTAGCGTTGTATTGCATTGTGTTTTTATGGAAGTAAAAGTACACTTTAATTCACATGTCCTTCGCTCAATGGTCCGTCAACTAATTACTGAAATATCTTCAACTCAGATAGCTTTCCCAGAAACCAAGTGGTTTGTTGCTTTCAACTGCACGTCTAAATATGCTTCAAATAACTAAATATAATTGTCATAAAATACCTTCAGCAAAAGACGATCTGCCTGTGCCTTAATCAAATCGTGTCGACGTTGATGCCACCGTGTGAACTCTACTTTCTGTTCTGAAGCCAACGCTTCCTCTTCCTTCCCTCTAATCTGAATAAGATTGCGCTCGAGTTGCACATATATCCATGTGAAATGTATGGCACGACTACATCTCTATTCCTGCGACCATTTTTGAACAAATTTACTGATTAACTGTATTCTCAACTGCTAGATGGGATAAGCTCTGGAGAAATGGTACACAAACATTGTCGATTATGGATGCTATCGCAGAGCTGATTGGGTCGTCGGCTGCTTTACAACACTTCAACTTCTTGAGTATTTCGCTGTGTTGCTCAGATGGCTCCTGTCCATCAAGTGGCGCTAACCGCTGAGAAATCAAATTCACAACACCGCTATGTGTTGACGGTGAAATTAAAGTGCAAGCCAGATCATGTCTGAAAATACAAACACTCAACATTTGCAAGATTTAGTTTACATGCAAGAACTTCCCACTTTCAAACAAATCAGTATATCAGTACTACAAGAACTATTGGGAACTGAAGGCACTGAGATACAAACTCGGAGAAGTCGAGATAAACTGTACTGTGTTCGTGAAATGTATAACTGGACCTTTCATCGCTTAAAAATGGCTATCGATAAATTCGTCGTTTTCCGAACTGAACAAAGAAAGCAAACCTATCATATAAAACGGCTCCAAGCAGCATTAAAGACTGCTGTAACTGATCAGGAAGAGATTTTGAATCACGTGCCACCCATAAAAGAGTTTTACCAGCCAGCAGATGCGGATCGGTGAGGTCGAAATGTGAATCGAAGTGTGGATTTTTTAAGTATGGGAACTTGAACGTCTTCTATAACAGATATAACCGTATAATAAATGCTGTCAACGCTGAAAAATGCAAAAAATGCTTTTTTAAAACAAGCAATGAATCAGCAAAGTAAGAAATAGATAACAAAAACAAAAAGAAAAGAAAAACGAACAAGAAGTAGCAACTTACAATGTCATCTTCATTGACTTGCACTTCCTCTGATTCTTCACACGGCATAGTCTGTTGCTCGGCAGGAAGTTCTGCCCACTTTGCACATGAATATAGAACTGAAAATTACGAAACCAATCATAGCGACCTAAAACTGAAAGCTAGTTAGAATTGCTCAATAGTGGATAAGGTAACTTTCTAATGCATTTGAAGGTCACCAACAAACCTAAAAGATTCAGTAGTTCATTTTCAGTCATTTCTTGCTGCATTATCCAGGCAGATAATCGAGCGGCACCTTTAATATTAGTGCTTCTAATATTCGTCGTCAACTTGGAAAAAAATCATCGCGGAAGAGTCACCTCCAAAATCCTCCCGTTCGACGAAATGATCAATAGCTAAGCAAGCAGCGTGTTCATTCATGAAAATACCGTAGTTTATCTGAATAGTTCATGAATAGCCGATAAATATCTAATTGGCTAGGAGAAGGGAACAAAACGTACTGGATCATCCGCGAGTTTGAACAGAAATGATGGATTGTACCGGAGTAGGAGTCTAATTAGTGCGTACTCCGTTGATGGTAATAAATCAGCAGCGTTTTCACTGTGTCGTAACTTATATATCAATTCAATCACGTCATCAACCTATAAAAACAATCGAAATCTCTGAACAACTGAATACCTTCGGAGGGACTTTCCCTCCCTATTTTCAAACGGAATTTTAACCATAAGTATCCAACGTTCAGTTAGAAAATTCAGTTACTTTAGTAGTACGAAAGATGGAAACGTATCAATAAAAAAGAATAAAGCTCTCGGCGCTGATCAACCCCTGAGGGACGCACCATGCATTCGATCTCATTAAGCGTCGTTGGAGGTGACTGGATTCATATCTGGCCATTACAATGACTCGCGGTGGCCTAGCGATGTATCAAGCCAGTGCTGCTACCTTCCCAGACAAGTCTCGTAGCAATTTGCCGACCCTGGAGGGATGGAAGGCTTGGTGAGCCACGGGCGCTGGAATCATTCCCATGTGTGTGTGGCAGGGTGCCTCCAACCAATGCGCTACATGCGGCCAATGGAAGGGAAAATATAAGAAAGTTATTCCGAAATAGGAATCAAATGGAACGGAAAATGTTTGGACTATAACCTTTTTAGAATAAACATAAAATTATTTTCTTATGAGTCCTAAGCATAACAGATAACACAGTAGTAGGGGTAGTATTTGTTTCATGCAATGGAGAAAAGTTACACCTGATCCTTCTGTTCCGCAATGTATACAGCCACATCGACATCGATGGCACTAAAAAGGAAAACAAAATTTGATGAAACAGTAGAGTGAAATACCTTTAAAAAGTATATATATAAAATAAATGACCAATAAAGCAATAGGGTTGAAAAAACTAGCTCCCACTAGGAAGTACTTCTTTGAATAGCTAGTGTACTTTAGATTGAAATAACAAGCAGAATAATGACAAGACCTCTACCTGACCTTGCGACACCACCACCAACGAATTTCTTCTGTACAGCGCTAATCCATTCATAATCACCACCTAATCCTAGTTTGGCCATCTCCACATGTCTCGATGCCCAATCCTAAAAGATGAGGAGATAGATTATGATTAGCAAATGTTACTATCGCAATTATAAAGCGTGACCTTTTCGAGTGAAAACGACTGTGAAAGTAGATGCCTTCGACCTTGTAAGCGCCGTATTCGACTTGTTCTCAATAACAGCTTCGTCGACCACATGTGCCACTATAACATCGCTCAACGAGCAGAAATTATTAGTAAGATTTCCAATATAACATGTACAAATAACGATAACACGTAAAAGTAAACTGTTGGAAAATCTTTATTTAATTAAAAACCCTAGTATATACATTCAGCGCAGCAGTGTAAAACAGAACATCTGAAGAGACATCAGGAAACCAGTAAATGGAAAAGATTGGCATATCAAAAAAGTGCATCGATTCTCACAACATTCTAGGTTCTGGTGGATTACAGAAAGTTTACTGTTCATGCCTTTTAAGTGAGTACCCGTTTCAATTTGAAATGCACGTAACGATTTGAAAAATGGAACTATTACTTCTCATACAATACAGTGCGGACCAGTTTACGAGTTTGTAGTCGATAACATCCGTCAGCACATTTCTTATAAGAAAACCTAAATGAATTACGTAAAACTAAATAGAATTCAGTGAAAATAATTTCTTCGACAACATCCGCAATGATGCCCTACCTAATCCATAATTTACAGATATCTGCACTAATATATGATCATTAATTCAGTAAACTCACCTTAGTTTTTTTTTTTATTCAGCAAATAGACTAGATATATACCTGCTAAATCCTTCAGGGACCGGACATTCATGCTTCCGAGATAGGTGACGGGTTAGGCCATGACCCGTCATATACCTTGAACCGCAAACATGGCAAAGATAAGGTTTCTCATTTGTATTCTGCAAAACATGAAAAGAAAGACGATTTGAGACCGAGTGCGAATTAAACTTGTTCAAACAGAAAAGAAAACTAGAAAACAAACTCCAGAATGGGACAACATGTGCTTGTCAAGCTGTTTTTTCCAACGAAAACGCTGATCACATATCGTACAAACCTCCCTAGGAGGTGCATGAACAGCACCGTGTCGAACGAGGTCAACCTAGAAGTCATAAATCAACAGGACCATAAAGTTGTAAGCATCTAAACCTGAACACTGAAGAGTACAATGCGTCTATAAAAAAATAACGGGCTCTCATGAATTGGTTCATTAAGGATTGCGTTGTTCTTGAAGAAATACACTCAGACTATTAACAGTAACCAACCAATAAAATAATTTTTTTACATTTTAACAATGACTTATGCTAGATTTGACTCTATTTATTTACCATCTCGCCACCAGGAAAATTTTGCATTTACCATAACTATAGTTTCGTGCAGAAGTAACTGCGGATTAAGTCGGTGAATTTCAAGATGCAACGAACTGTGTGCATCGACGTCAATTTTTATTTACTGCCTACTAATTTTTAATGGCAGGGTATTATATGAAATAAAACCATAATATAACTCGAATGTGATGCTGAGATATTTGCAAAACTCCGGACCACAGGTGTATGCGGTGGGGAAAAACGAAGGACACGGATGGTGTGGTGGTGAAGTGAGCTGCTCCCCGGTAAGATCAACAGCGCGTGTTCGTCCCCCCCCCCCCCCCCCCGCATACACCTGCGGTCCGGAGTTTTGCAAATATCTCAACATTACATACGAGTTATATTTCGCAACATACCCTGCCATTAAAAAGAAAAAGGCAGTAAATAAAAGGATTAAGATTATAACCATAATGTAGCTGAGATATTTGAAAACTCCGGAGGGCTGGTGTCTGCTGTGGGGACCGCACACGCTATTACCCTTTCCGGGGGCTAATGCGTTCACCAACACACCATACCAGTCCTTCGTTTCGCCTTTTCTCAGCCGTGCTGTTTTGCGCCGATAAGATAGCATATCGATTACAACAAACAATAAAATTCCGAATCTTTGGATCCCTCGAAAGACACTTTCCCAACTTTCTTCGCAAGGTTTGTGTTTCGCAAATATAAGCGATCTAAAAACCGAAATTTCGTAGAGCTGAACATGACAGTGTTCCCAAATGTATCGCTGAACTAGCTGAGAGGAGCATCATTGTGCTTGTTTCACACGCAAAACCCTGCCATGGAAATTATAATAGGCAGTGAGTAAAAAGTTAACGATGCATTGCTAATCTCTGAAGATACCGTACTTTTTGTTAAAAATTTAAACATTGTTGTAAAATTTCTTCTGCAAACATAGATATTTAACAGTTTCAAAACAAACAATTTGTGAAAATTATAGATAACCCTCGATTCGTGTTAGTTCGACCTCGCTCCGTGCCAAACAAGCTTCTCATCACCCGGGTTCGGGAAATTGGTACCAGACTTGTCCGGGAAAAAGTCGCTCACTGCAATCCAATTGGGAACACTCCAGCACGACGATCTCAATACTAAAGAGAGAATCGACTCGACCAGCATTCTACGGTATCCAAGATGAAATGAAAAGTCTTCAAGCAGCAAACGAAGCCACACGTAAAAGTTGGAAGATCTTGTGGATAGTGGATGCGAGGAAGCGAACCGAATGTGAGAAGTGCTGGGATTCGCGCAGGAAAACGTAAAGACGGGTCATATAAAAATATAAAAAAATTGATAGCCTTAAGACGATGGAGCAAAATCTCTTCTGTAGGACTATCACGGTCTGAATTCCTCAACCACTTTGGTTATCGAAAATACCAATATGGTTTGCTATGTGTTAAATCATTTGCTCATTACAGCTGCTTAAATACATGTTCATTAGTCTAAATTGGAACCATCAGAATCTACATCTTTTGTCAACAAGATGCAAGCTTCTTTTTACTGTGGTAGATTAAATTACAAGGTTCTCCAAGCTATGAATTTTTCAATGACATTTCTAACAGCATCTTCGTTGTTGAACAATTTCTCAGCTAACAGTTGTTGAGAAGTTCCACAAAGCTGATCAGTTCGATATCCAGCGAGTATGGCAAGTGTTGCTAATTATCTTGGCACAACTAATTCAATTTCGGAGTGGCAGTTGAGCGACGTATAACTGGACGTCGTCGTGCAACGAAACCTTTTGATGAACACCGAACGCAGAGATTCCAGTAGGTGATCGCTTTTGTCAACTTCTCGCCAATACTTCAATACTTATCTGCTTTGGTGGTTCGGCCAGGATTCAAGGATTATTGTAAGTGGGCTCGTATCCAGATCGCTAAAAGGCGACCACAACTTTATTCTGCTATAAATGTAGACTAAGCAAAAAGTTTAGGAATTTTGCCTAGGACAAGTGTGATTGTGCTAAATACTCTCTGTTGTCTTATAAGATGCAATTTCTATCGCATGTTACAACTCGATCGAGAAATTGCGCAGAGGAAGTCCTGAGTACATTCACAATGGCAATCTCCAAAGGTTTTCGGGAACTCCTTCGCTCGGAGAACTTCGAAGCTGTTTTCTACAAGAACAGATAAACCTGTGATTTGTTGGCAACGATGTGCCTATTTAGGATTCTATTAGAGCCCAGTTGCAATTATTTGAAACTAATGGTCTGAAACATTTACATTTACTTTTTAAACTTGCTACTTTTTATAACTACTTCCCACATCTTTATTTCTTATAATTGCTTTCCACCAAACCAACATTTATTTCACATTTTTGAATCTTATGGGCACATTATGTAAATTTAGATGGCTTCGTCAGGCCGGCTTTAAAGAAATTCATCGTAAACGAATTTACCAGATTCTAATGTATGACTAAGCCAAATCTACTTGAGTTGTCACTCATAAGGACCTAATACGAATGTGTAGTGTTCGCTAAATGTCTGAATAACGGTCCTCAATATTGAAAGATCCTTGGATAAACAAGTACTTCTATGAAACTTGCCGTAGAATAGAAGCATTTGCCGCATTCAGAACAAGTGAGATTTTTTGCCCGCTCAGTGTGCTTCACCAGAATATGCCTTAAATCAAAAAGTCAAAATCTACGAATGAAAAGGAAGTACTGAGTATTAGTCACCTGTGGAGATCAGATGGCAGCGATACAGCTAATCCACATGTTGGGCACTGACGGCCATTGATATGGCGTCGCACATGATTCACTAACGAGCGCTCATCACCGAAGCGACGTTGACAAAGCAGACAGAGCTAAAGGTGAACATTCCAGAAATCGAATGTATCCGCGAAACACAGATTACCTACGTGTGTGTTTTCCTCATTAGCTGGAAGGGGAATACGTTTACGGAGATGTTCGTATAGCTTGTCAGGCCGTGAAAAAAAGCGACCACAAAATGGACACGCGCAGTACTTCTCACCGCTATGATGACGAACATGTTTTCTACAATGGTGACTACAGCAGTGACATTGCATTATTTTGTCGATTGTTGGCACTAATGAAAGCAACTTTGTTGAACATAATGAAAATGACCAAAATGATGCTGAGATGTTAGGAAACTTGAGACCTCAGAAGAGCTTCGCACCCGCGGATCACGGGCTCTCTACCACACCAACCGAGATCTTTGCTTTCTTTCTTCCCAGCCACTTTTTAACTCTGTCGGTGTTACCAGTAATAAAGGAGCAGTAAATAAAATTTAAAACGTAATGGAAACGATTCAACAGACTTTGCTTACGGAACAAAAAATTTGAAAGCTGTCGGGTTAGTTTCTGGACGAAACTCTATAAACAGAATAGCGTTAAATTAAATCCACAACCTCAAATCCCCTTTCGATTCAAACTGTCGATGACATTGGTCCCATAGACACTTGTAATGAGGAAGTGATCTGAATTCTTCGCGAACTCTGTCGTCGCCACCAAGGAAATCAATATGTCCCATAACATGTGTAAATAGGTCAAGAGGATCAGCGAAATCATGCTGAAAAAAAAGAATCTACTTGACATTTACGAACTAAGTCAGAAATACGCAGACCACAAGCTTATGAAAATTACGGAACACGTACATGACATTTATTCCACAAACAGTAGGTGACCTCGCCTGAATATACAATATCTAACGATGAAGGAAAGCCACATCTTAAACAAGACAGAGGTATTTTTCAAAAGCAAACAAACTGTGAAAAATACGTACTACCTCGTAGTATTGCTTAAAGCTGGTTTACTCGTAATTAGTAAAAGACCGACGAATTGAGCATGGGCATGGAACTGATGCATAGCAAGATGGCGTTTGAGATCTAATCCTGTTCCAGCTGTGTGACGACATGTGTCTATAGGACACAACCATTTGTCGGATTCTTAAAACATTTGAAGTACTACTTAACTGGATAGTTTTTAGTAAATGTTCCTGTCTTCAATAAAAAGAAAACCACGAAGAACAACATACATGTTTCGAAGCTTTTATTCACTGCGCCTATTTAAAGAAAAGAAAAAAGCAAATAAAAAAAGAATAAAGAGAAATATAGTTACCAGATCGTTGAGGATCATTTACATAATGATTGAGATGGACGTCAAAATGTGCCGCCAGTTCGTCTTTGGTATCCATGACGTAGTGACACCCATTCCACATACATATGAACCCAACTAAAAACGAATTGTGGCCCAAATTAATATTAATATAACGAATTTATAGTTATTTGTTGGCAGAATAATCGAGAAGTAAATTATACCAGTGCGTTAGCCACGATCTATAGCGTTCATCAGGCTATCACGAAGTTTGGAAACGCCTTAACATTTCTAGTTGCAAGCATAGACAGAATTCAACCAATGCCAATATTTAACACTGTCCTAGCAGTAGACTACTTACAAGGTGATATGATCTCTCTTTTATCTACAACAACCGGTGAATATATGTAGAGATTTTCTGAGAGCCCTCTAGTTACGCTAACGAGACTCCAAGGAAGACAATGAATGGCTCAGTTAACAATTAAAACCTTCACTACCTGCACATTGTGTCCTTCACAGGAAAGTGCTTACAAAGAAAGTGTCAAGAAAACCAGTGCCGTTAAGACCATTACCAACACAATATTACGTTATAAGCCAAAAATAAACAAAAACTGGAGTACTACAGCCTCACGTCGTGACGTGAAAGTGATAACTCATGCTATAGTTATAACGTACAGATGCGAAAGTAGGGAATACCAAGGCCGGTTTCCACGAGCTAGACGCAATCTAAATGACAACATATCTTCAGAAAGAAAAGCCCTCGAACTGCATAGACGTTTCGCACGGTCATTCAGTCCGAAAGGACTTTTGTAATAACAGTCCGACTTGTCCGTTGAATATACTCTACAACCCCGAAAGTTGCTCACTGCCAGGCAGATTGTAGTAGGACAGTAAAACCATTGAATTAACACGAAATGGCTATGTATTAATAGCCTGGCAAATTTATGCAAAGTTGTATAACAGAGCTCAGGGCGAACAGTTACAATATGGTTCCAGTTTGAGGGTCATGACGATCACAAGTGAAATAAAAGTGGAAAAATACGTTGTGGTTAGGAAAGACGACGATCCATCCAAATATTTGAGTTAGAACTAAGCGATAAAACTGTTTACATCAAGCAACGAGAGTCTGTAGCAACGACGGAAGAGTTGTGCAAGAGATAGAAAATTTACAAATTATCCAAACTGCTAATCACTTTAGCATACGAATTTCATTTAAGCCAAAAGAAAGAAAAACTAGATAATTTACATATAGCGGAGACACAAATGGAAAGCATACCTTTATCTGCTTTACAATTGTCGTACTGTACCCATGAGTGAGATACATTTTTGCTCGTAAGCAATGGCTCACTTTCCGAAGAACCGCCGATTGGGAATGATGTCATATTAAACTTATTGGAATCTAAACCTGCACTTACATTATTTAATCGGACACAGTATATACATTTTTGGCCTACAGACTTCCTGATCATAAACATGAAAACATCAGCCACCTATCAGCAGCTAATCTTAAGCAATCTCTCTACTCCAACTTTGCGCCCCTGTTCATCAAATTTCATTGAAATGAAGAACAGATTTTTCACAGCCAATCTTCCTTTTCCTAGAAAGCTAGACAGGAAGAGTTTAGTCTTACGCATGTATAAATCATTTAGCGCGTAGTCGAAGGTGTCTTGCAATATACACGAGATCGATCCCCGCGTCCCAGGCTCAGCAAGTTTACCATCCCATCGCCGCGGTAAATTGGTACTAAACTAGTCCGGGAGTATACCAGAACTGACTCAATACATCACTAGTCCACCGTGACTCATTGTAAAGGCCAGATATGCACTCAACCACCCCCAACGATGCTTAGTGAAATCGAGTGCGTTGCGCATCCCTACGGGATTGACCAACGCCAAGAGCCTCTATAAATCACAACAGTGCCTTACTCCTCTACAATAGAGCATCCATTCATTACTACGACACCAACCTGACTATACCAGTTCGTTAAGAAATCGTCATCACATTTTCAACCTCACCACTGCTGAGCTCTATCTACTAAATTCTTCGCAACACAAAACGAACTCCATATCATTTTAAAGAGAACACATCAATCCCGAATACAAAAGGACACAATGGAACTTTCATTTCTCGAAGATAGTGGTGAAAAAAAGTACCAATTGCTCCAAAACTACATTAACATACGTCTCCACACGTGCAGCAAAATTTGGACTAACGTTCAGAATGTTCAGACATTGTCCAAAAAAGAAAGAAACCTGAGTAGGCTCATAATGCTCATAACTTCACATAACAAAAATATATCGAATTTGAAAATAAGTAGACACATGTTACGACAACAATTTCAAAAAACTAGTTAAGATGACCATTGCAGAAGACTTTATAACTGTGATAGCGTACTCATAGACTCGTCGTAAGAGGATTATACGAAAGACAATAAATTGGGTTAAATTTAACGCTCAAAGATAGAAAGATTCATGGAAGCCACAATCACTACTTCACAAGCAAAATCTAGATAATTCCACAGCAGAACATTTAACAGCAGCAATCTAAACAACATTAAACGTTTCGTCCGAATACTTTTTCACAACGTGTTTACGAATTACAACAGCAGATATACCACAGAGAATTACCAATACTTCCAGAATTACCAATACTTAGAACGTAGTCTCAAAAAATTCCTTAACAATTATCAACATACACCAGACGGATACTCTATAGGTAATCCAACCTAGTCTATTGCATACATAACTTTGAAGAGATCTGTACACAATTTCTAGTCATTTAAAGACTTCGATGAGAATTTAACGATTATGTTAGCCATTTGCAACAACAAGTGGGTCGGTAACATAATAAGAAGAACAGATGACAAATGGACGAAAGAAACAGTGGAGTAGACTTTCAAAGAATGAAAGTATCCTTCTGGAAGACCATCCAAACGATGGGCAGACACGTTCGTAGCTAACGTCAACCAACCGCATTCGCAGATGGGAACGATTTTAGGGACTCGAACTAGGTCTCGCGGACGTCACAATGTTCGAGGCTGACCACCACAATGCACGATTGCGCGAGGGACAAACGAACGAAAAATATACTGAAGCTCGTACAACCAATGAAGACGGGCTATGCAAAAAAAACCTAAGTAGTTGTAGCAACACATAATTTCAATTTTCAGCTTGTGCATATGGACCCACGCATCTCACGTGGGTTTTCTATTGATCACCACCAGTAAAAACATTTTATCTCTAGCCTATTTCCCCATGGTTTGGGTCTTCCACATTTCTTCTTCTAACTCGTTCAAAGAATACCTTTCTACATACTAGTAAGTGCAAAGAATACAGGCAGAATATCATAGGGGATCCCTGTGGTTTATGTTGCACTCCATCAGCGAATGTACTAAGTACTAGGATTCGCACAAAAGATGTGACGACGCGGCATGTAAGATAAAATAAAATAAACGAAGAATATTTTCCCATGCATTCCGTCTAGCACGATATCTGCGATAAACAGGCTAATAAATGAATAAAGGTGAACCGAAAGACAAGAAGTTCTGCGGGCAAAAGAGGCCGCCAAAAGAAAAACGCATTGAAATCAATGTACACGTGCACTTTTGCAAACGTGCTAAAACTGGACAGGACGTCGCGGTCGCCTAACGCGGCCACGAGAGCTTACGTCCAAAGCTGAGTCTTCATCACTTTCGACGTAGCTGATTGCTGCTAAATTACGACGAGAACTACGCCCACGCGTGTGCGAAGCTTCATGACCAACGCCGTTTTCAATTCGTCGGCGTTTGCTGACATTTCCAGATCGGGTTGATTGTCCACCATTTGTCGCACGGCGATTTGGTGAATACGACGTTGTTTCAGATTCTGTAAAGAAAAATGACTTAAAAAACAAAACCAACTCCACCTATGAGTGTAAAACATCGAGTGAAAAATTTAGAAAGGATTCACAAACACAACTTACCTTCACTTGTTTGGCGAGCTTTCCTCTTCTGTCTGGTACGTAAACTAATGGATGACTCTTCCATTTCTTCGCATGGTGAAATATCATCATCCTAAAACTAGACAAATGATTTAAAAACACGAAAGTAGAGCGGAGACTACAAGTACGAAATTTAAGGCAATGAGTTCCTGAGCTACATCGGCAGGTCTGGTGGGTGGGACTTTATCGCAGAGGTTAGCAAATTACAGTATCTATGACATGACAGGTTCAGGAACAGTTTACCGTAATTGTTTCACAGCTTATGGAAAAAAGAGTGTATATAAACTTTAAAAAATGGAGAATAATTTAAAAATGAAGGTTTCGTCCTAAAACGGCTAATTTATTTTCTCTATATTCATCCATAAATACTTAGAGTTCGAAGCTAGTTTTTCGATAAAAATATTGAGGAATTACTACTACTGAGGAATTAAGAACTTGAAAGAATTATACATAATACTTCACACTGCTGGTAAAGGAAGGAAAACAGTAAGGAAAAAAAGATTTCTTCAGAATCAGAACCAGAGTTTCGTTGTGCACCATAGGCCAACAAGTGCTTTATTAGCAAAGATCTGTAAATTATAAGCTTTTGTTTCAACTAATGGATTCACGAGTTGGTGGAAATGAATTCACGTCCGATTTCAAGTAAAACATTCCAATTACCTCGGGACTGGAACTGTCAACTTCCTCATCCGTTCCAACTGCCAATTCATCAGTGAATTCCTGTTCACTTCGAGGAACCAATGAATTCGTTGACAACTTTGAGTGGTATAATCGACTGGGTGAAGAATTTGAATGGTTGGACAACTGAATCCCAAAAACATAGCAAAAGACAAAAAAGTGAATGTCAGCTTAACAACAACAACCGACCTCTCTGGCTAATTGCTTGCGCCGTACTGACGACCTTGTGCAAACTGCTGCATCTCTACTTGATGTTGACGGTGCGCTTTCATTGTTTACTGTAAAAAGAAATGATGTACAATTTCCTAAAACTAATGCTGCTTAGAAACAAGAACTCCACACTGGGATGAAACGTGAAGCATGAACTTTGTCAAAAGGTACAAGGTGAAAATGTATGAGACAATCACTAATCAACGTCAGAATAACGAGTAACAGTACAATCGAACATAGAGCCACAACTAATGTTAGCACGTTTCTCCTACTAGATTAGTAGTCTAAAACTGAACTACCTGCCCAATCTGCGATTTTAAAAGACCTAAAGGATTCTGCCACCTTCTCATATTAGTGTGAAAAATGTTGGCATTAGTTTTCAAGAACTTTGAAGAGTCTTTGTAAATTTCAAAACATATGTAAACTAATTCAATAATTACTAGCTTGGATACTTGGATGGGTCGTCTTCACTAACTATGCGGACCCCATCATCATCTCCGTTTTTTCGGAGTTTCGCTGGTTGAGCCACTGTAGTTCCTTGGACTCCTGAGGTCACCCTAGCCAAAGTCTGCCCCAGGTCGGCGCCAACACAGGCGAGCACCGCCCTTTTGGATCAGAGATTTCACACCATACTAGCTTGATACCAGGACGGTGGTGGAGCCTGGTATTGGTTTACTCCTATCTGGGCTCCCTGATAGGATTACCGGATTCCTTCTGATCTCGGTAGGGCTTGCTGGGAAGACGAATTTCCCTGCTGCACATCACAGCCCGACACTCAGAACCACCTTCAAGTCACGATGAGACGGTAAACCGCAGGGAAGAATTACTTTTTTTCAACATTCAACAATTACTGACAAGGAAAGAGATGTGTAAGGAAAATTTTGAGCAATCCTCCTCATTTTTGCAGAAATCTCAAAAATAAGTTACTTAAAAGTACTAAAACTTGAGTGCATGTATACAATGTAAAAAATCGGCATTTACTTCCGTAAAACGTGCCTCTTTTACAGCGAGACCGTTGCTGAGATTGAGTATTTTCTTCATTAGAAGAAAGTGGCCCATTAGTGGTTCGTCGGGTTACTAGCTCTGATCCAGAACGTCCGTTTACCAGCTCTGATCCAGAACGTCCGTTTACCAGCTCTCGATAGAAGCCTGGAGAACTGCTGATGGGACGACCAGATTGAGAAGTCGACGGAATTTGTGGATCCAAAGGCGCTACGGTTCTATGACGACTGCAATACATAAAAACACTAAATGGAAGCATGGCTGTGCAATCGGTATAATCGGAATAACACTGGAAAAAAATCTTGCCTCCTCGTGTTATATTTTGACTGCAGGCGGTCTTCGCGATTTCTCCGTCGCAACATTCGTCCCGCTGGATCTATCAGGCTTTTCCAAATTCGCTCAAATTGGCTTATAACCCCGCGCATGCGTTCAGCAAATAGACTCCCAAGCGCAAGACTGTCTCGATAGATCTTGAATGTCACCAACTGTCAGAAACTGATTGCAACCATAATAGGAATTAGTACTATCAAAGCAGTGTGCAAGATGCAATTTTCTTGGCAGACTACCAAAGTTAGAATAAAAATACGGAAACAACATGCCTTTAAAGTAATTGTATGTGCATATTGAGTACAGAAATTCGCTCTTTTTAGTATGTCTACTAATGCCAGTAGTTAAGTGTTAACATGACTTGAAGGCGACTTTCTCTGTTTCTACAAACATTAACAACATATTTTCTTAATCTATTATGCCGGTATATGAAGAACTTCTATATAAGATAGCCCACGGAAACATTAAAAAAGACAAAAAGGACATTTGTAACATCTTGGAGTCTACGTTATCATCAATCAACGAGAAACTGCAGAGTATGAGTAGAATCTCTATGGATGAACGAGTATCAAGACTCATATAATTTTGCATTGGTGGCTTGGCATTCTTTTGAGCAGCTTAGTACCTAATGGTCATCTCTTAGAGCTCGGTCTATCTCCCGTCTAGTTCCTGGCCACTTTACTACAGTTTTTGAGCAGATCAAGTAAATATACATACATGACACATCCGCAGGATAAATATGTTCACATACAAATGAAATCTTTCTTTAAACCAGTTTGCAGTTCCGCGCAAGTACAACGACATTAACGGCCGCATTTAACTCCTACATATCGTATATAAATCTCGGAATAAGGCAAATACTATCTCATATAAACCACGTACCGGTGATCGTTTGTCATCTATACTGGTTTTACATGCGTGCACCATCTTTTCCACGTTATGCAACAACGTGGCAGGCTGATCGATGTCGCCACGTTCGAGTGCCTCCTCTAACGAGGTGAGATCGCAAGTTTGTCGCAATGCACTAGCAAGATCCTGTGTATTAAAATTGTTTATTTGAAATATAGGACGAAAAATGATACATAATAAAGAGCAACACGATGAAAAGGATATAGTGCATATAATACGGAATCACGGTGTAGAGATTACCATGAAACCTGAGACCCTAATGAAAAACCAGCAGACAATGAGTAAATTACACGAATACTTTCATACCTCGTTAGATGCTGCATCTGCCTTCAGAAAATGCGATGCGCAAGGATCTGCCATTACCGACCTCAATATTGTACGACAATCAGTTTTCCAGCCAGGTTCCAATGGAGATTCTGCTGGGTTGCTCTCAGCGAGCTGTTTTAGTAGCTCACCATCCAATGCTAAAAGGTATTTGTGGGATGGTCACCACTTGTTCAAATTATAAACACATGTTCCTTACCAAATGTAGGCAAGTCTTTCTTACAGTACTCCAAAATTTGATCTGAAGGCATGTCAAAGAGAGTATCGTATAAATTGACTACATTATCAAGTAATGGATCCCTGAAATGAAAGCACAGATAACTCGCGCAGGCCATTATATCAAGCAATCAATATTTTATTGAACTGGCAATAATAAAGAAATTCTCCTTCCAGAATCAGTTCATCTCTCAATTTAAAAAAACTCGCAAAAGTTCAACGTCACCGAAGTAGAGAAACATCGTATGCAACAGCTGCCCAAAAAATATTGTCTAACTGTTTATTACCTGTTTCTTGTACATCCACAAAACAAGTATAGTATACAAGCAAAATTGACAGTGATTTACTTGCAAAGAACTCACCGTGAAAAACGAATAAGTGTTTCCACAACAACTCGAGAATTCCGTACAATAGCGCTTGTCGGCTCATTGAATTGCTCTGCTGCTATTGCAATATGGCGAATATCCTGGTGCAGTGATTTCAGTCTCCTCAATCAATTGTTATAAGCGCTGACTACTGAAAAAAAGCGCTAACGTTCTATTACACCTTAATACCTGTAGAATCCGCTTCTTAAGCGATTAGCGATCGTATCCAAATCTACTGGATAGTCAATGTTGGCCGCATAATCCGGGAAGGCCTCAAGACTGACGGGATAAGCAAACGGCTCCACCGTGTCACGGACACTCAGTTTTTCAATCGCGTCCGACATTCGAGCACAGCACAACTATAAATTCAATCTTAACTCTTTTATCTACTGCCTTTTTTTCCTTCTTAATGGCAGGTTATGTTTCGAATTATAACTCGTATGAAATGCTGAGATATTTGCAAAACTCTGGACCACAGGTGTATGCAATGGAGAACGAACACGCTCTGTTGTCCTTACCGGGGAGTAGCGCACTTCACCACTACACCATCCGGGTCCTTCGCTTTGCATGTCTCTCAGCTAGTTCTATCGATCTTTTTACCAACAGCAATCACCCGTCAACGGGATTGATCTGGGGAGCCAATATCGGCATTGAACCCAGATCAACCCCGTTGACGGGTGATTGCTGATGGCAAAAAGATCGATAGAACTAGCTGAGAGACATGCAAAGCGAAGGACCCGGATGGTGTAGTGGTGAAGTGCACTGCTCCCCGGTAAGGACAACAGCGCGTGTTCGTTCTCCATTGCATACACTTGTGGTCCAGAGTTTTGCAAATATCTCAGCATTTCATACGAGTTATAAATTCAATGTTAAGTTAGCGGAAATTCAAAGTGTTAATGAATTGCCGGAACGGCTGACTGAGTTGCTTCAATAAAGCCAAAGATCGCAAAAGACTTTCTACGGTGATTTATGAGCGAATTGTGATAACAGCCGCAAAAAACCTCTTTAGCTTCAACTGCACCACGAAAATCAGATTCGGGCCAATCACTGTCAGGAAGAAAATGTGCAAAAGAACGATGGTCCATCTCAGTTGCCTCATCACCTGGATAATAACATGGGACACAATTTTGGAAAATATCCAAATTTACTTGTTAAAGTAATAAGCCCGTCTACCATCAATATTTGTCATACCTGACTTTCTCGAACCAGATCTTGGTTGGCAATCCCATGGACTCATAATGTCCTCTTCACCAGAATCCCATATGATACGAAGACAAAACCAAAGAGAGCTAAATAATGAAATATCTATCACTAACTCAAACATGTCTAAGGTTTTGAAATTCGAGCAGTTGTAAGTGCACAAGAGAAAATGTACTAACTTGCAAACCTCACCTCGGAAAGTCCTCAGCACTAGGTTCTTTGCGATTCACTGTTCCAGTCCACCACTGTCCATCAAGAATCGCTTCAATCCGATCCCCCTCTTGCACATTCTGTTGAACTGAGGTGTCGTAATGTTGTTTTAAGATAATGAAATCTGGTACATTGGCGAGATCATGAAATCTTAAAAACTAAAGATGTAGCGAAAAAAATTGTGAAACGAACAAAATCACAAGAGTATATACTGCGAACTTCACGTTCCAAGAGATGCCTGTACGCTGACCATCACGGTCTGTCTGTGACAATCGTACTACAGTCAGTCGGTATGGCTTTCTCACATAACGGACCTCATCCACAATACAAAATTCTTCGGCACCTAATGATGGCCTTAAATACAGGCTAAATGTACAATGTAACGAAAAACATATCGTAATTTCAAAAGTTACAATATTTACCTGGGTCGCATCTTAGTGCTGACAGGATATAATCCAATGGCCTCTACGCGCTCCAAATACATTTCGTGGCCTTGCCGGAAATATACAACATGATCTCCAAGTTGAGCTATGAATGGAAATCGACGTGGCTCACTTATACGCATCCAATCCGGAAAAGAGGATAGGAAGCTTTCTGAAAAGTCTTATTCACGAGGAGAAAACGGCACCTTTACACCACTTAAATACACCTTTTTTAGGCCTTTGACGTGCTTGTTTCTTCACATTAGAAGTGGAGTCAGATGTTGAAGGACCTGGCATGCTTACTTCGTCTTCATCCATCTCAACGGAACGTATTTCAGCAGTGGGAAAATCGTCATTACCCTAAACAAGTAAGGCGCATAATAGCAAAGCAGAAATAAGAGCCAATAATGACGAAGTCAAAAAACTACGGTAGTTGTAACACGACGGCGTGTCTCCCTCATTCGAGTTCCCTCACGTTTGGCACCGTCAGTACGCTGGGGCCTCTGCACGCGACGACCAGATGAAGTGGTTACTTCTACCTCCTCCTCGAAATTATAGAAAATATTTCCTTCCATAACCAAGTATGATTGAGACTCACTTGCTCGCGATCCTGATGTCGATTACTACATCTAATTGAAAAATCCGAATCGCTTGTATCCGAATCCGAGGTCCCTTCATCCGATGAACTCTCAGAATTCCTTAAAAAAAGAATTATCTCTCAGATTAACCGACTTATTACCATGATAAAAGAATGCCTGTAGCTTTCGTCCAAATCGCTTTGGTAATTTTCCAATTCGGCAGCTGCACGCCTTGCAACTTGCGCAGCGATCGCTTCTTGTAGTGTAGGGAAACGCCGTCTTCGAAAGGAACTGCCTTGATGTCGAGTTGATTGAGAAACATTTGGTCCAAACCCTCTATATCTGGATTTTCCTCAAATAAAAAAACATTATAGATACAACGAAAAATGTGCACCAGGCAAAAGATGGACCAACATCATATAAAAAGCTTACTCTGGAAGCCAGACATGGGCACAATTACATCAATTGGTTCAGGATCTGGCTCTGGTTCCTTTGACGACTCAACATCAAATTCGTGGTTTTCTAACTCAGCAAGGCCATACATTTCCTAAGAAAGCAAAAAATACGAGAACCACCTTTTAATTACAAAAATGCCTTTCCAGCTTGGGATAATTACTTGAACAATCCGATTATATTTAACAGAGCTTACAATGAATACTAAGAATGTTTTGATAAGAATGCTAACTATGAACGATTTTGCAAGTTACTAAGTAACAACCACATAGGAAAACCGTTTTTATTTACTGCCTACTCTTTTTAATGGCAGGAATGTTGCGAAATATAACTTTAATGATGGTGAGATATTTGCAAAACTCCGGACTGCAGCTGTCTGCGGTGGGTAACGAACGCACTATTGTCCTTTCCGGGGAGTAACGCGTTCACCACCACACTATGCGGGCCCTTCGTTTCGCCTGTCTCTCAGCTAGTTCTATCGATCACTTGCCATCAGCAATCACCCATCAACAGGACTGATATGGGGAGCCCAAATCGGCATTGAACACAATTAAGCTGAGGCTTTAGTTACAGTCACAATCTTAATCGTTTTTATTTACGGCCTACTCTTCTTAATGGCAGGGTATATTGCGAAATATAACTTTAATGATGCTGAGATATGAGGTTATGAGCTCGTCAAAAAACTGAAGAACAACAATACCTCAGCCCATAAAATTCTTTCTTTGAGTGACAAAGGAGGAAGAACCATACGAGTTAACCAAGGAGATGAGGTCGGTTGAAATTCATTATTCTGCAACTAACATCTTACTTCGTAGAAAAAAAGATAGATAATTTCTGCACATCGAGTTACATGCACTAAGCAAGACACGTATCTATTTTCACCTTATGAAGAAAATCTCTCCCGGGAACACAATCTTGCCACTCATCAGCTAACGGAATCAGATCTTGATCAGTAAGAAGCGGTGGAGGTAGTAAATGCGGTTCAATACCTGTTGCCTCATCAATAACCCATCCAGTTTCATCCATTAACAGCGACCTGAACTCTTTTCAGATTTATATTACGACCACAAAATCATATTCTTATAAACATTTTCAACTCATACCAACCTCGTAATATTCTAAATAAAATAACTCTAGCACACGTGCTCACCCCATAATCTATCAGGTTTTGGAACAGCATGTTAAACTAGCATTGGTATTTGCCATCACCACTTATCAATTATATCGTAAATATCAAATTAAACTCACGAATCCCCAAAAGAATAATTAACTCACGAATAGTCTGTGTTAAAAAACTGTTGCTTAGGAACAGGACGTGTAGGCCTAGAGGCAACGCTGTAGAGAGTTAAATGACCTAATGAATCCACAGCAGCCACGGAACAACCATCACGAGAAATATCAAGATCGAATAAAGCCGAATGACCACGATGTTCAACAATATTTGTGAATCGTTTCAATTTTTCACCTTGTTGAATATCCCAGAACTAAAACACTCGATTAAAAATTTGCGGTAATTCAACAACAGCACATACAGAAATTTTTAATTCCTAATCATACAATTTCCAAATAACAGCATGACAGAGTGGTATGTTTTGCTTACCACCATAACACCATCATGACCGCAACTGAGAACAACGTTGTTAAAGGTTGGATGTGCTTTAAGCACAAAAGAGTCGTCTGTATGACCAGAAAGCGTTCGCAGCATTCCACCAGAGCTACTCCAAACTCGTACTAGAACAAAATAAAAGTTTTGTAGAAGCAATCAGTTCAGAAAGGTAGACTCACAGATGTAGTCCGACCCAGCCGTCACAATCATACTGTCATCAAGTGACCAACAAAGCATTGTTACCTTGAAAGATTATACGATAAATAACCATTGCAGTGTGCTTTATCATACAACGCAGAACACAAATCTACTTAAATTAAACCAATCACCCGATACTTGCTTTTGGAGCGCTCACTGGAAGCCAAAGTAGAAGGATGCATATCAGCTGGTTCAAACCTAATTTTTAAAAAAGCTATTGAGAAACTAACCAATCTGGTAAAGACATAAAATACTTACCCAGGTACGATAAGAGAAATAGACCTCCACTTTCCGCATGCAAATTTCCACACTTTGGCAATCCCGTCGCGACTACCAGAAGCAAAGCGACATCCAAAATGTGCCCATTCGAGACTGTCAACGCGATCCTGAAAAAAAATCGCGTAACACCATCAGTGTGAATGAGACAACACTTGAACAATTACGCACATTATGGGCACACATATCAGCAAACTTAACGATTCCACCATCAACTTCACGTTTAACTCGGAAAAAACGTAAGTAATGGTGAGTGTCACCAACTACTACCCACTGGCCGCTTGGACTATGGCAGAGGGATATTATTTTAGTTCCGGCCACTTCACGTTCATCGAATTGGACAATTTTGCTAAAAATGTAGACCTTTAGTAAATATAATGGCTAGAACACGAGGCTAAATTGTTAACAGAAATAACCACCTTAGCTCAAAATGCTTCGTATTCTCATCATATGGATAAAAAATAACTTTGCAATCTAGAGCACAAGAAACAAGATATCTCAGAGATTGGTCCACAAAGGGTAGGAATTTCACGCGTGCAACAACAGCTGTGTGAATATGAAAAACTCTCAACGTTGTACCAGTAGCTAACGACCAGACCCTGAAAGGAAGCCATAGTACTTTATTGTAAAATACTGATAAGACCTTCGAATAACAACGAACCGTATTGACTTGTCCACACTCCCTGAAGCAATCATTTGATTACAGTAAGATACAGTAACATCAGCAACTTCTGCAGAATGGCCGCGATATGTGTAACGCAAAAGGCCTCGATGGGCGTCCCATACTTTAATGAGATTGTCGTCCGCTCCCTAAATCTGTGGAAGTAATGCCCATAAAATCAATCTACTACCACCCTGCCCTTCAAATTAGAAAACGAAAAACATTTGAAGTTTATCGAATGGAGGAATTCAACTATAAACCAACCGTTAAGACATAATTCCCCGTCCGATCGAACGTCACACAATATACCATCGAAAGATGACCTAAAACTCGATAGTGACGTTCCATTTGTTCCAGTGATCCAACGCCTGGTAAACGAAATCTGCTGACGCGGTTTCCAAATTCACGACAAGTAGTTAGTCTGAAAATGGTTATGATTTCTTTGAGATAAAAGGTAACAACCAAATTTATTACCTAACAGAATTAACTATGTAACTCGGGACCGGTCGACAAGCCAACATCCGTGAGGTCGTGTCTTTCTTTGTTGCAGATTCTACACCGAAATTAAAAAGTGTTGCATACGATACAAATAGAAGAAAAGTGTCCATAGACCCTACAACAAATAATCACTGACGTCTAGTTCGCAATAGACAATTTCGTCTGTTGTTGATTAGACGCAATGGGAGACCGCAAACTGATGGAGGTACAGCTGCATCAGCCAATATAGATAAACGGCTGACCATTTGTAACAGTGATGGAGAGGACTGCACCAGGTCAGAAATCTGAAAATAAGAGTCAGAACTATTCAGAATGTGCTAACCGAAAGAAAAGTAAGACAGTTCCTTGCCAGTTAACTGCATTTATTACTCTTCCAAACAGTTAAAAATAGACATCAGCGTTACCTAATATTACAATTCAATATAACAAAAACCTAACCCACCGTTTCTCTGTATGATCTTCTGTGAGCAAATCCGAGATAATCCAGCCGGCATGGTACTAGCTAAATTCAGACTGTCATTTCACATTACTGGGTGAAATTCGTTGTGTAAACCGTGTTTTACCCCACTGTCTTCTATTTCGTGTCGTAAAACAGCAGCTGCCTTCCTACAAGAATTACCAGCCAGATAACGCTCGATAAGCACCAGTAATTCTGAAATCCCAAGAATTTTCACTAGACATTGCAAGTCTAGTGTGGAACATTTCAAGCAGCTGAGACATACCGAACTTTGTTCGCTCATCAATTTGCCTGCTGCTGCTGGGCTGCTCGGCAGATGTAGCTATGCTCATCTAAACAATGGTCTCTACAAAAATCCGGCATTACCTGTGCTACAACGCTATGTAGCAGATTCTGTATGGAAGTAAACCATCCAAATAATCAGCGATAAGCTCGCATATACCTAAGATAACATACCAACGAAATAGATTTTATTAGCGGATCAACATAGCTAGCTAGGGAACAATTTTCAATTACAGACCGGTAGTAGCAACGATTAGAGAGTACGGGGCGGAAAAAAAGAACAGACATTAGCCAAGAAATAAATACACAACTAAACGACTGCCAACAAATCAGCCTACGTTTACTTTAATAATAGAATGAAAACGCGAAATTTTACTTGGAGGAGAAAAATCAGCCTCGACTTATGGTTTAAGTAAAATTTACACAGAATGCTTTGAGGAATGAAATCCTTGACAAATACGAATGAAAGAGTACGAAACAAGTAATGATAAACCGTCAAGACCAATAATCTAGATGGTTCCGCATCTCTGAAAACGTTCCACACAATGGCAGGCCCGATAGCGGTTTAATCCAAACCTAGAGCGAAAATGAGGTCCATTTTCGAGCCAATTCTCGAAAAATCTAGACCTGGCTGACCATAAGATCGATTGTGTAAAAAATACCTTGGACTTAGTTTTAGAATGTTGCACCTTCAGCCGGTTGAGGAAGTTTCATATTCTCTTTCGCACACATCATATTCTTTCGGATATCTTCCAAAACAGATTTGATCATAAAGCTACCATTCCATGAACGCAAAGTGCTCAGATTCCTTTTATCTATCTGTAACATGGCGAAGACTTCTTAGTGCTTCATGGATTTCTAAAGGAAAGCACAATACGGTCAGGATAAACACTAACAGTTCTAAAACTTACCACGCCAGTAGACTGATTAACTCCATTCATGTGAATTTTGGTAGTGAACCGAACGCTCGGAGGTTCCTTAGGATAATTAGGTCCACATTCCACGTGCAGATTGTAAATACGCGATTCATACGGTGTCTATAATACTACGTCCGTGCTTTCTAATAAATGATAAACTGAGTAAAATAAATTGAAAAATCCCACAGTGAAAATACAGCCATACCCTAGGAGGGCCTATTATAGTACCCGTCCACCTAGTTAGAGTCATGTCAGTGTCATCTTCAAGACCCCATGAGATGTTGCCGTCGCCTTTTCCTTTCTGACCATCTTCCAGTTCTTCAAGAAGACGAAAATTCCTTGGCACATCTACTGAAATTGCGACATTATATTTCTTCCAGATTCCAAATTCTTGAAGTAATAGATTACTCTATACTGACAAAACATGTTAAGCTGCTATATTGCAAATATGTTCAGAAAAATAAACTAAAAACCAAGCGCCGATGAAATCATTTGAAGTCTGTGTTGAACAAATGTTTCCAGATAGTCAGATTATTATGCTCATCATTACGGTGGTGAATCAACCTAACAATAATTGAAGAAAACACTTAATACCTACCCATATCGCTTTGCTTGTTATTTAACCAAAACCCTGAAACGAATTTAGTAACAATGATGAATAGTTAGAACATAAACAAAGAAAACAATAGTTTTCAAACCGATCGCCATTTAACCTCCACAGTAACAATCAACACCTTTTTGGATTGTTAAGTTCACACGAGGTTGTTATCGAAGTCTTATTCGGCTAAGGTTTCGACGCGTTCGTCTTTATCAGAGCCGATGATCAGAGTCAATGCTGCACAGTCGTTTACCTTCTCGATCTGGCGTCTTCGTCTCTTGACCACCTACTCGGATAACTGGCTTTGATGAAGGCGAACACGTCGAAACACCTAACGAATGAAACTTAAACAACAATCTCGCGTAAGCCTAACAATTCAAGGTGGTATAAATGAGGACACAAATGAATGCTGGTACAGCAAACAAAATAAGAAGTAAGAAGTTAGATGGTAAGTAATGAAAAAACTCGAATGGGAACTCGCTTGTACGACTTAGGGGGACCACAAACAAAAGGTAAGTAGCCGAACTGATTGATTTGCGTAGGGAGCGAGCGCCGACTTCCTACAAATGGGAACGCCCGCGTCGCTGCGGTTGGCGGCAGAGCACGTTAGCCGACATACCATTATCGTTCGACGGAATCTATACAGATGTCCTTACGAACTGCCCTTGTTGAGCTGATGCGAGGTTGGTATACGTTGTCGTTGTTGCTGTTGTTATTATTGTTGTTGCTATTGTTGTTGTTGTTATTGTTGTTCTCGTTGTTGTTCGATGTCCGAAGTCATAGCCTTATGTGTCTGCGGTGGGGATCGAATCCGCTATTACCCTTTCCGGGGCTCACGTGTTCCGCACGACACAACTGAAGAACTCGTTCAGCCTTTCTCTGAGCCAGTGTTTTCATCCTAACGGTTCCATCACCAATCACCCGTCAATGGGAATGATCTAGGGAGCACAAATCGGCATTAAACCCAGTTAAGCTAAGGCTGTACTCTAGAATTATGCCATTTAATTCTGTTATTAGGTGATTGCTGATAATTACCTGGATACTTGGATGGCCCGTCTTCACTGGTTGTGCGGGCCCCCACCACAACCTCCACTTTTTCGGCGATCTCCTGGTCTAGCCATTGTAGTTCCCTGGAGTCCCGAGGTCAGCCAGGTCAAAGTCTGTCCCAGGTCGTCACCACCACAGGCAGTCGCCGCTCTTGGAGAGGTTTGGCACCATGCGATTTGTTTGATACCAGGACGGTGATCGATCCTGGTATTGGTTTACTTTTAGCTGTCCTTACTGATGGAAACGTCGAACTCCTTCTCTGCTTGAGAAACCCAGCTGGAGGGATGAATCCTCTCGCTGTACATTGCAGCCCGACACCCAAACACACCTCCCAGCCACGATGAGGCTTTAAGCCGTTGAAAGGGATTGCTAATGGCACATATAAAAACACGGTGAACACGTTACCTTCCAGAAAGTGTAATAGGGTAAAGGTATGCGTAGGGTGCATAATATTCTGCCGTGAAAAAATAATGGACGGTAGGTAAAAAAGTAATGTCCTTATAATTCGGTCGAATATCTATGGCATCAATAATGCCGCGGTTTATAGAAAGTCCGTCCTTCGAGTTCAACGGAATGCTTGAGCATATGTGGCTGCAGCTTTGTTCTTTAAATGATTGATGTTGTACCCTCTGAGAAACTTCTGAATTTCAAAAATCACCGTGCTGTTCAGAAGATTTTCTCAATAGTTCCTGATACCCTCCATTAGACAGGATGAAGACGGGAACAGTATCGCAACACACCGGCAAGTAATACATCTCCTTCACCTGGTTTTCTACAAATTTGTCACTTCGAAAACAGATCCATAGTGAGATATCCAGCTGTTTCTCTATTCCACCACATCTGTACTGCGTTCTGATGCTGTCAAGATGCCACCAGGTATTTCTTTCCTCTAAAGTTTAGGTGAATGGAATAGTCAGTTTAGTTCAAGGACAAGCCTTTTGCTCTACATTTATATAACTTTTGCACTGGTTTTTCATCATTTCAGCGATTTTCAAAGTGTGTCGACCACAAAAATTCTTGTAAACCATTTTGATTCCATGTCCTTTCTCTTGCCATGGTTTCCTTCGCATGAGCTTTTATATCTTACTAAGGTATAGTTGTATTGGAAAATTATACAGAATATTCTTCATGGATCTCTTCAATTTACTGCATCTCTCTTATGTTCAGAATATAATGTTTTTAACACTTACACGGCGACGTGACGTTTATAAGAGTTATATTTGGGCGAACATTGTGCCTCGTATGACATCTATAGAAGTCGTCTTCTTTTAGTCGTTTATTTTGTCGCATAGCACCGCTTGACTTCTTGCATTCAATCCATATCTCATCCAACACATAGTGTGGCTTTTATCAGCTGGAAAAGGCTATAAGTCCAGCCCTTAGAAAACTGCAAAAAACCACCATAATGATGCTGAGATATGAGCAAAACTAGGAAGCCCAAGTGAGCTTCGAACACGCGATTACCCTTTCCGAGGGCTTACGTGTTACCACTACACCACCTAGGCTTTTATTTTGCTTTTTTCTCGGCCAGTTTTTTCTTTTTATCCCTAACAGTGATATCAACAATCACTCGTCAACGGGATTGATCTGGTGACCACAAATCGGGATTGAAATCAGGTAAGTTAAAGCTGCAGTCAAAATTACATTGTTTTACTTTTATTTGCTGCTATTTGCTGCCCACAATTCTTTCATTGAAAGGTGTTATGTGAAATAGAAATAAAAGTGTATCATTGTGATTTCGATTACATCTGCAACATAACTGGGTTCAGTGCCGATTTGTGCTCCCAGTTCACTCCCGTTGACGGGTAATTGTTGATAGCACCGTTATGGTAAAAAGTAACTGAGGGAAAGGCAAATCAAAGCCCTGTGTGGCGCATTGGGTAACACGTGAGTCCTCGGAAAAGGTAATCGAAACTTCGAAACTCAATTGGGGTTTCTAGTTTTGTAAATATCTCAGCATCATTGTGATTGCATTCCGCGGAGTACCCTACCATGAAAGAAATTCAAGGCATCAAAAGGAATCAAATATTATTGTCACCTATTTTAGGAAAACCAGCACATGTGTAATGTCATGAAATTAGGCTTCGTCGCATAAGTGTTAATGACGAGAAGGCGAAGGATAGAGCTCTTGGTGTTGATCAGTCCCCGAGGAATGCACCATGCATTCGACTTCATTTAGCATCGTTAGAGGTGGTTGTATGCATATCTAACCTTTACAATAACTAGCGGTGGCCTACCGATGCATCGAGGCAGTTCTGCTATTCTTCCAGACAAGTTTGGCACCAATTTGCCGACCTCGGAGGAATGGAGAGCTTGGCGAGCTTTGGACGCGGCGATCGATCCCACGTGTATTGCAGGGCGCTTCTGACCACTGTGCTGCACGTGCCCCTTTCGTGTTTCTATGTATGACAAAAATATTCTTGCCGTGAACTCCCAACGGTTTCCCACCTCATCATGTGGCTGCGAGGTGTTCCTGGGTGTCAGGCTGCGATGTACAGCGAAGGAATTCATCTCCCCGACAGGGTCTCCGAAGCTGGGAAGGAGTCCGGCGTTTCCATCAGGAAACCCAGCTAAAGATAAATCCGTTCTAGGATTCACCACCGTCGTGGTATGAAACTAGTCGCATGGTAGGAAATCTCCTTCTAATCCAAGCCAGTGAAAACGGGCCATCCAAGTATCTAAAGAAGTATTCTTGCTGTACCGTTTGAATGGAGTACAAAATAAGGTTGTGAAAATGTGTTTAACAAGATCAACCCACTATAGAACCTTCTTCTCGAGGAATACTCTTGTTTTTAGAGAATATAACTGTTGCAACTGATTTTTGAACCCTTTCCCTTCAGCATCCTGTAACGAATCTTTCCATACCTTCTCTTAGTTCAGCAATATTTGTATATGATATCTCGCTAGTTTATCGAAATATTTCACTAGTCCAATAGAAACTACTGCGTTGTCGCCATTGTAATTTTTAACTCTTCATATTATCGTAGCATATTCTTTTCCATGTAATCGTACTGGTTAGACTCATAAGCTTCAATTACTCGTGTTTTGAAATCTGGCGTAGCTGCAACACACCTACGATACCCTCCTAGCATATGACATTACATGCTGTTCATCTTGCTGTGTAACTTCTGCAAGCTTTTCCTACACGATTACTGTATTTCATAATGCAACTACTCATGAGGTCTGCAACACACTTAGCATAATTGGTAGTAAACACCATCTGTAAAAGATCTTTGCTGGAGGATTAATATCGGTTAGCCTTTATCTTCTTTTTTTAGGCAGAAAAAATTACTAGAAGCAGTTCGAAAATCCAGTCTTAAAGAGTTCTGTCAAGATCATCGCGCCTATAAGTTTCTGCTATTTGCAATGAGCTTGTAGAAGAAGGACACTCAACAAGCATATCGGACGATAATTACGAAGATCGCTTCGGCACCTTTCTTGGGTAGGATGACCGTGCGCGACATCCTCCACTGGTTCGGATTTTTTCCGTTTGGAGCTAGGCTGTCATATAGATTGCGAGAAGTACATGTATATTGTGGCTTCCAGCTCTAAGGAAATCGGCGGTGATATCATAGAGTCCTGGTGTTATGCCTGTTTCCATGCTTTCTATAACAATTCGAACCTCCCACGAAAGAATTCCATGTGGTTTTTCTCCATCTCGGATTTAAGGTCCGGACAGATATTGTGGAATGGGAAAGGTTGGTGTAGGATGTTTCTGTTATCAATTCCATATCACGGTGGAACGTTCTGAAGCACCCAAGCACCGACGACATTTTTTCAGACCCCTTCTTTTCCTTGCTGGTTCCAGTAGTTTCTTCTGCTTGTACCGGTATAGATCTTCCTGCAAAGCTCTTTCGCAGCTGGTATTTATTAATAACCATGTTAAATGTGTTGCAGTAGGATCAACCCTCAGTTTCTCTTTTCGAACACCCCCTTAGTAGTAATGAAAATTTGATCCGATCTTCTTGCTTGAGGGACTTAGACGAATTCGGCACAGCTTTTCAGTCATTCGACAAGTAGCTCGTAGTGTTCGGCCGGGTCTTTCTTCGGTCACAGGACCCACTCACAACGCCACTGTGAGGAAGACGAAATCGCCGAAACGTCAGCCATCATCGACCAACAAGAACAAGAACAACAACGACAACGAAGACCTATACCAACCTCGCTTCAGCTAAAGAAGATCAGTTTATAAGATCGTATAATTAAATACATCAACCATCTATGCCGGAGTTTTTTTTCGGTCTTTTGAGTATTTCCTGCCTTAACGTATGCGTCAGAAACGTGGTCGCTGCGTAAGCTGGATGAAAGACAACAAATTTTATTCGGTATACATTTTCTGGTTCCACTTCCTGTTAAAGAAGAAAAAGAAACCGCCGTTGGATTGCCATGTCTGGGCTCCTTTGCTGTTGGTCTCCGACAGGCGATTGATGTAGAACAGTACGATTTACTTCTTCTAGGAAAGCGTAGGATGGATGCCCACACTGTGAAGTAGTTTCAAATAGGTTTCTTCTCTCAACTATCCCTTTTTTTCCCGTTCGCTAAACAAATCTGTGCACGTTCAGAAATCACTGCGACCACTTTTCGGAGTACGTCATGCTGTGTTTACTATCTCCGGTCTAGTTCTGTTCCTCAAGCTATTGTAGTCTTACTGCCCACGCCCTCCTTAACATCCTTCCCCCGTTTTCTCAATGACATTCTCAACTTACTCACGAACGTGCTGTTTTTTCCTTTACCATTTATAATTTGTTCGAATGTTAGAGTATATGAGTATTCGAGTAATTGATAAACTTACTGAAAAGACTTTGCCTTATTGCACTAGAATTCGTCTGCAATGCTCACACGACATTTTAAAAAGTGTTAATTTTCACGGAAGCATAGAAACTTAGTTGTTTTCTTAATTTTTACTTTTATTACTATTATTTTAGCGTAAGTTGTCTTAAAGGAGTTTAAAATCTTTTAAGGTTTTGAATTTGAAATCTGAAATTTTAACTATTATGAGGAATTTACATGAAACTTAAGCGCCCTTCTCTTTAAGATGCCAGCTTCATCTCGAAGAGGTCAAATGGAAACATTTTGCTCACTTCATTAATTCAGTCAGAATATCATCTGGTATCATCGTTATGGCAGTGATCTTTAGATTCGAACAGCTGTTGCTTCAATCAATAAAGTTCACTACGAACTGTGATGTGTTTACTTGAAGTTGGAATACTAAACTTCGGCCACACATGCATTGAATGAGCGAAGATGGCGCAATGGTTTGATGTGACCACCAGCAAGGCGCAGCTGTTTGTTGATTTACCTGGCGTCATGAGTTAAAGATTCCATCCTCACTTGGATCAGCACAGTCGTACTAGACTAGTCTACAGCATAAAAGAAGGCCTACTTGGTACATTGGTAGGCCAATGCAAGCCATCGTATTAGGTTGTTACCGAGTGTTTATTCAGCTAACCTTCCGACGTCTTCATCTTCCTCGAAGCCGATGGTTCGACTCGATAGTCCACAGTCGTCTCTCTTCTCGATGTGGTGTCTTCATCGTTGCACCGGATGAAATATTCTTTAATCTTCTTCGACCTCTCATCGTATTGAATAAAAAGAAAATCATATCTGCGATTTTCTGCAAACGAAGGCTAATGCGTAATCCATCCCTAAGGGAATGGTCGAAACCGAACGCTTTGTGCTTTATCCATTTAAATGCAAAGTCCGCAAATGGTTTAATTAATCGATCGCCCGAACTCTTAAGAAGTTCGATCTCTCAGTTTGAACAACTATGTGAAAATCATACATGACTCACCATGCAGACTGTTTGGCATGTGCATTGTTAACACTTTACACTAAAGGCCGACCTTCACCTATGTTTAGCGCTGAGACAAGGAAGTACAACACAGAACGAGTTAATAGGCGTCACTACAAGAAAAATAGTGGGTGGAGCATCTTCAGCCCTCTGAAATGGTCAACGATCAACCTTATGAACAAACTTTTAATAATCACAATCTTAACCGTTTTATTTACCGCCTACTCTTTTTAACGGCAGGGTATACATCGTAAAATATAACTTCAATGGTGCTGAGATATTTGCAAAACTCCGGACCGCAGCTGTCTGCGGTGGGGAACGAACGCACTATTGTCTTTTCTTGGGAGTAACGCGTTCACCATCACACCATGCGGGTCCTTCGTTTCGCCTGTCTCTCAGCTAGTTCTGTCGATCTCTCCTATCAGCAATCTTTTATATATATAATAAACTTTTGATATTTTCTCATTGATTCGACACTTTTGGCTTTTCTTTTTTGGAACCTAGAAGCTTCTGGACGAGTTGGACGTTTCGTTGAGTGCATTGTTCTGAGCAGCATTGCTTGTGAAGTTGAAGCAATTCAGCGAGAACGGAATCTGCCATTACCTCTCTTAAACTGAAAAGAACTACTGTTTTTTTCAATCTGTCGTAGTATTCTCTAGTCTGGGATGATACAGGTGGGATAGGTTTGAAAATTTAGATGGTATCATCAGTGGAAATAGCCTTTAAAAATCAAGAAAGCCGGTTGTGTCAAGCATACAGTGTTTTTCTTTGGCATCCATCAGGTTTGACAATAGATAGAAGTCTATTAACCACTTCTGTTTTAATCGCAATGCTAACACTTATCAGTACTGGAGCTTTTCTCATGTGTCATGTCGTATAGAACACAGTTAGATGCAACGACAACAATGTTTACTACACTATGATTCTTTCTCCAGAAGCTTGTAATATTGTTCATTGGTTGATTTTCTGGATGTAGACGTTATTTCTAGCATTCGGCCTATGTATGTGTTCGGTTACTCATTTCCTAACATAGTATTTCCAGATTGCAATGTTCGCTGCAGTTGTGAAGGAATTCGGCGGTCCTGAAGTGATAAAAGTACTTCCCAACATTCCTCTGCCTGTTATTCAATCAAGTAAACAGGTATAATCATTCATTTCATGGATTTATTTCCCCTTCATCGATTTAATATTCGTCAACTTCATTACAGTCGATATCATTAGTACGAGAAATTCATTTAAATTGAAGCGTTTAGTGCCATTATATTAATATAATAATATTATCATATAAATTTTTCATCACCACACAGTAATGTAACGCATTTCCCGTTATGCTTAGTAAACTTCCGAGTTCTTATCCATATCAAATTTGCGCTGCTTTGTAATCATATCCCTTCATAAAACCCTGCCTCTACAGGTATTCCTTGCCTATCGGATTAGCATCTACAGCGAGAGTTATCAGTATGGTCACACAAGCTGACGAGTTTAAGGTTTTTACCTGTGAGCCCAACTACGGAGCATGTGTAGCGTATAGGTTAAAGGTGTCGTGCAATACACATATTATAATTGATCCGATCTCGCACTCAGGTTCACCAACCTTTCGATCCTTCTGGGATCGGAAAATGAGTACCGGACTTGTTTGCAATGATAGCAGCATTCATTTGATACACTGGTAGGCCCCTATAAATCGTTGCGTAGGCCAGACATGCATCTAATCATCTCTGAAGAACACTGGTAATTTTGATTTCTCTCAATCTCTCTCCCTCTCTCTCTCTCTCTCTGTGCTCTGTGTGTGTGTGTGTGTGTCTGTCTGTCTTCCTCTCTTTTCCATCCAACTTCACTATTGCATTGACATGTGCCACCTTAGAAGTTTTGATCCGTCTTACTCTTTCTGTCTCTCTTTCTCTCTCTATCCCCTTAGAGTTATTCTGAGGACGTTATCTGATATGGATGGACCACATAGCAACGGCATATGCTTTCTAAGATTGTTTTTAAACGCTATGAACAAGGTATGCGACAGGAATTTGACTCCATGGACCCATGACCTTCTCCTCCATAAGAAAATCTTCGTTGAATTTTGGTGATTAAGAGAGATTTTTAGAGGTTTTCTGATTTGGGTGTGAAGAGATTCTGATGTCAGAGTCGTAGCCTGCCATTTCTTGCTGTCCCACTTACAACGGTTTATAATAAAAAGAAAAGAGTTGCAGATCTGTATAGAAGGGCAAATGGGCATAAGTTAGCAACTGTTTTGACTTAATACAAGCTGACCACTATGTGAGGAGGTGTTTAATGTACAGAGATTTTTTCAATCCGTTTGACCAGACTGGTCGTCTTCAGATCAACTGTGCCAATCGGAGCACTTCTAACATACAATTCGTCTCCTTACACCCGTCATCTTTGGTCTTTTCACATGTAGGTTCGACTGTTGCTTGAAAATTGTCGTTGTTACAAACATCATTGAGTGCTGGTCGTCTCGATTCTCCCAGGAGTCCTGAGATTGCCAGGCTAGAGTGTTTCCTTTTGGATTGCAAGGAATGGACTTTTCCCAGGCAAGTTTGGCACCAACTGCCCGACCCCGGAGAGATGAGAGACCTAGTGTGCCCATTACAGGTAGAACCAGCACTGCTCCTAGGACGAACACCTTCATAACCACTGCGCTGCCCGCTTCCTATGCATCGATATTGAGTTATTTAGTCTAGAACAGTGATAGGAAATGTTAACGAGAGTTTCAGAATGTGTAACGGGTCGTTCCAGTTATACATTATCCTGGTTTTCATACAAAAGCTCTTCAGATTCTGATTCGTGTTGGTGCTGCTGGTGTGAATCCTGTAGATACTTACATTCGTAGTGGTCAATATCCATCGCTTCCCACTCTGCCCTATACTCCTGGCCGAGATGGTGCAGGTATCGTTGAAAAGGTTAGTTTTTAAATTTTAGGTCGAACAGGAATGAAAACTAACTAAGGGCGCTTAATTGAGACCGTGGTCTAACCACTTGGTAGAACAGCCATTGACAATTTTTGAATCGGAATTGTAATGGAATATCCATCTTTTTGACTTAACAAAATACCACGAAAGAGTAATGCGTTTACCCTTAGTATGACTGTTAATCGAGCGAAATAAGGAGGAATCAAAACATATGGAGATTTCGATTAGTTAGGCATTACATTATTATATTTGAGATTCTTATAATCTGATGGACACTGCAGTTGTTTCTTCTTATCAACCTCGTGTTAGTCTATCGGTAAACAAGAAAAATCCATTTTGATTAATCATTTCGATGTTAAAGGAAAGTAGGTTTTTAAAATTGTGTTACCGTTGTAGTAGGCAGTAAATAAAAACTTAGCATTGTAATCTCGACTACAACCTCAGCTCAACTGGGTTCGTTGCCGATTTGGACTGCCCAGATCAATCCCGTTTACGGGTGATTGCTGATGGCACTGATAGATAGAAAAATAGCTGAGGGAAAGACGAAACCAAAGACCCTCATGGTGTGCTGGTGAAGGCTTTAGCTCCCGGAAAGGGTAACAGCGTGTTCAATCCTCACCGCAGTCACGTGCGGTCTGAAGTTTTGCAAATATCTCAGCATCATTATGGCTGTGTTATCGTTGTTTTCGAGAAAGTTAGCCAAAAAATCTTTTTATCCATCTCATGTTTACTTAATAATTGAAAAAGGTATTAGTTGTACTAAAGTCAAATTATGTGTTAGATAACTGATTCTGGTCCAGACGAGGATTCAAGAAAATGGGTTGGGATTTTATTCTCTCCTGAGAACATTCTCTAATATTACTTGACAAAAAGACAAAGGGAAACTTATTCCAGTTTAGGTTTACTTCATGATGGATCATATTCCAAGCACTATGAAGAATTTAATATTTAATTGCAGATTGGTGCAGACGTAAAGCACGTGAAAGTCGGTGATCGTGTCTATTTTGCGACTTCCTTAACCGGAAGCGCTGCTGAGTATTGCTTAGCTGAAAATGTGTTTCTTCTTCCATCTGGTGAGTAATGACGTTTTCTGTAGGTAAAGACTTGATATCGTTCTTCCTATATTCGTTTTTGTTTGGTTATCCTTACTGGCAGTCTTCCTTAATTGGATACTTAGATGGCCCACCTTCACTGATTATGCGGTCCCCAGCATAATTTCGCTTTTTTGGAGTTTTACTGGTTTAGCCAAGTGGTTCTCTGGAGTCTCGAGGTCAGCTAGGCCAAAGTCTGCCCGAAGTCGTCACTAGCACAGGCGGTCCCTGCCTTTGTGAATCATAGGGAAATTTGCCACCGTGCGATTAGTTTGGTACCAGGACGGTAGTGGGTCCTGATATTGGTTTTCTCTTAGCTGGGATTCCTGTTCCTCTCATCTTGGGAGGCCCTATTTTGGAGATGAATCCCTTCGCTGTAATTCACAGCCTGTCCTCCAGAAACTCCTCCCTCTACGACGCGGCGGTAAACCGTTGTGAGGTCACCGGTAATCATCAACCAGTGTTAGTAATTTTTTCAGAATTTGACCTATCTTATCGAGTAGAATGAATATTTTACAAAAATGCACTGACACTAGAGAATTCAACTTTTTTTCACTTTTTTGACCAATATGTTGGCTTAGGACTTTCACTGCAAGAGGGAGCTTGTATTGGAATTCCCTATATGACGGCTTATAGGGCAGTTTTCTTGCTCGGAAAAATTCAGGTTAATGAATTTTGATTTGTTATAGTGCTAATTATTGGGACAATCCACCTTACGACATGTATAAGTAATTCTGTAGCGCAATGTGATGAAACACAACTCCCCAAATGGTGTCTCTGGTTCCGGTTTGCCTCAATGCTAATGGGATTCCATACTTGTGACAACAACTGTTTGAAAGCAGACTCGTCTGTAAATGATGGAACACTTACTGATGTTTTATACCTTTTACTTTCCAGTGCAAATCCTTATATGATTAGATACCACGCACCATTTTCAACTACCAGTTGGCAAATTTTGTCGATGTAACGCTTTTCACTTACTATTTTCGTTCAGTTTAGAAGTAGAGGATGAAAGAATACCCGCTGTATAAAATTTTATTACATTTCCTCTACAGTTACAAAGTTCTTGGAAGTATTGATGAAGGTTTGTACATGTTTTTAGAAGGGTCAACGCCTTCTTGTTCATGGCGCATCTGGCGGAGTAGGTTTTGCGGCTGTACAGATGGCTGCCAAAGAAGGAGTAACGGTAGTTGGAACCGCGGGTACCGAAGAAAGCATCGAGATGGTCCGGAAAAATGGTGCTTGCGAGGTTTTCAATCATAGAAGTGCTGGATATATTGATGAAATCAAGAGCAAATATCCTGGAGGTGCGTCGATTTGAGTTTTGGAACCACCAGGTACTACTGTGTATCTACAAGATACTGTTTATAACATCAAGTTTTACATTTAGGTTTCAACTTAATAGTGGAAATGTCTGCCCACACGAATTTAGCCAATGATCTTGAACTTCTGGCTCATAAAGGCCAAGTAGCCATCGTTGGAAATCGCGGTGAAGTGACTATAAATCCGAGAGCGTTGATGATGAAAGAAGCCAGTGTTTTTGGTAAATATTTCCGTTATCTGCCTGACAACACTACCATTGTCGATAACATGGAGATTTTATCGCGTGAAGATTTTCTGTTTTACAATCCGTAATGCCTGAGTAGTGGTCCAGGCAAGCACGATTATGCTTAGCGCTTAAACATGCGCCTAAATGTGATGACGTCAGTACTTGGGTGATTTCTAAATGCGGAGAGGTCCAAGAGTGCAGCTTAGTCAAGGCAATGTCTACGAAACTGGAGGATATATTCACATCGATTTATTTCCTTCTCTTTCGTCACTTGATCTAATCAATTTTAGTTTCATATTTATATGGGCGCGTGTAGTGCAGTGGTCGAAGGTGCCCTGGACTACAATGGTATAGAAAGAGGTGGTTGTCTACCAATTTATTAGTGGGTATTAAAAGCCTTCCGAGGCGTCCGGAAACACACGTGTGGAATCAATCCCCGCGTCTCAGGCTCATCAAGCCTTCTATCTCTCTGGGGTCGGCTAACTGCTACCAGACTTGTCTGGCATGATACCAGCACTGGCTAGATACTTCGGCAGACCATCGCGAGTCATTGTAAAGGCTAGATATGCACTCAGTCACCTCCAACGATGCTGAATGAAATCGAATGCATGGCGAATCCCTCAGGGATTGATCAACGCCGACAGCTTTATTCTCTATTATCCTCTATGATTTCGTTTTCCTTCAAGGTACCGTATGCTTGTTTACAACGACATAACAACAGACATGTAGGGTTGCCATGAAGTGGAGTTCCTATTCTGTCAAAATCAGGTCATATCCAACTAGAAGGCGATTCGTCTGTGGAAATAAGCCTCTTTCTACCTTATCTCTGAATGTGTTTCAGGTGTGATGTTGGCGAATTCGATAACAGCTGATTGGCTTGCGGCATCCTCATACATCTCAAAATTTTTCTACACTTCAAAATTCCGACCAGTAGTTGCCCATGTATATCCATTGAGCTCTTTGAGTTCGGCACACAGCGATATCATGGGTAGCAAAGGTGCTAAAGGAAAACTCATTGTTTCTGTTAATGATCAACTGTAATGATATGTTCGTTCATCTTCACTGATACTCTCGTTGTATTGCATTAATCTGTGGACGTTGAAATGTTATGCATTGAATTTCAAACGAGTTATTTGTTTATAATTTATTTAGAATAAAATATGTATTGTTATTTCATGAGACTGTCTCTGAATCCCTTCATTTCAAAACGATAAGCTCTTAGATCTAATTACTAAGAAAAGAATATTGAATACACTTGCATTACTTTGTTAACTGGAATGAACCTTGAAGCGCGCGCCATTAGCTATCGGGCTAACCGATAAGAGGAGAAGTTGCTCGCTGTCTAGCTCGTCTACGACGAAAGTAAAAACATTTTCGGCGGACCGTGCTAGTGGAGTTGTGAGTTGATATCACTGTGTACGCGATCTTAGTCATAAATATCAGTTCCTTCGGTCAAGTGACAACTATAAATGTAATTATTAAGTGAAGCCCATAGCGTCTGGCGTTGATTAATCTCGAGAGATATGCGTCATGCATTCGTCTCTTTTTATAACATCGTAGAAGTGAGTGAATATGTATCTCTCCTGTAGAATGGCTTGTGGACGCCTATAAATGTATGAAGCCAGTTCTGCCATCCTCACAGACAAGTAGGCTGAAGTTTGTAGACCCCAGGATAAAGAGGGTGAAGTTCTCGGCGTTGGTCAATCCCCGAGGGATGCGTCGTGCACTCGACCTCGTTAAGCATCGTTGAGGGTGATTGTGTAAATGTTTGGCTTTCACAATGAATCGTTATGGCCTACCAATGTATCGATCCAGTGCTGCTATCCTCCCAGACAATTACGGTAGCAACTTGCCGACTCCGAGGGATGAAAGGCTTGGTGGATCAGAGGAGCGGGGATCGATCTCATGTGCATTGCAAGGCGACTCCGACCACTGCGCTACCCGCCCCCTTAGACCCCATAGTGATGAAGAAATTCGTTAGCCCGGGATGCGGATTCGAACCAGCGATCGATCCAGTACATATTGCAAAACGCCAGCATTGTGCTATTGTCGCTAATAAATAAATAATTAGGTGGAGCTATGTTGACCAATGATGGCATTGACAGTCTTCAAAGTCTATAGTTGGAAATTAACTAACTTAAACAGAAGAAGCCAAAGCGTTTTATTTGAAAATTGAAGACCTCTACAGGATAAATTCATGTCTTCAACGACGCTCTCGTTGATATCGATGACTGATAATCACATAGGAAGTCATAGATTGAACAGTGGGACAGGTTATTTGCTTCTATCACAGGGAACTAACACTACTTGTGACAGTTCACTGCTCCAGAATCCCCTATTGGTGCTAGAAGTAGCAATGACCCACTGTAAAAGAACACAGTGACATTGATCACACCATAAGTAGTCAGTGGCTTTGCGTAAGAGGTCTACATAAAATCTTTAAGTGGAATTAGATCATCGGTTGCTTTACGCAAAATTATTCTTTTCCTAAGTTAGAAGGAAAGTCGTAAATTCCCTAATACATCACTTCTGGAAGCGTAGCATTATAAAGTAAATGAATCAAGAATGCCACTTATTTCCCCAATACCTCGACGATAACGATGAAAAAACCAAAATTTACAAATCACCAAGGGGAGCCCCATTAGAAACTTCCGAAAAGATGTATCAGTACGAAATAGCACGAACCAGAGACATATAATAGCACAGTGTCTAGAGGTGGCTTGCAATACACACGTGGACCGCCGAAAACTTCACCCTTTATCTTTTAAGACCAAGGTGACTTCTTTCTGACAAGCGATGGAAGAGTTACTGCAGAGAGAACGGCAATGTAGAAAAAAAAATGTTATCTACTTGTATTTCGAACATTCCGACAGTGACGTCCACGTTCATACATGCCATTGCAGACTGAATACGTTATCAACGGCAATTCTTTTTTCCGAAATTTGATACGATCTTTTGATGAATTCCTGAGGGATGTACCACACACTCGACTTTATCAAGTATCGTGGAGGTGATTGAATGCATATCTGGTCTTTACAATGACTCGAGGTGGTCTACCGATGTATCGAGCCAGTGCTGCTATCCTCCTAGACAAGTGGTACCAATTCCCCGACTCGGAGGGATGGAAGGCGTGGTGGGCTATGGGCGCGGGGATCGATTCCACATGCGTATTGCAGGGCGCCTCCGACCACTGCACCACACACGCGCCATCTTAGGGAAAAGTTAATGAAGAAATTTAAAAAGTTGGCGAAACGCGTTGTGACTATGGTGAATAACGCGGAGTTTCGTAGCGCAATTCGTTTAAACGTATCATTAGGTATCATTACCAACTTAGCAGAGTATTGGACCAATATAATACTCGATCGGTGGGAAACCTCGGCTTGTGACAGATGTTTTAGCAATAGTTATTGTACCGCATCCACAACTTTATTCTAACAGCTTCGTCTGTATAGTATACGGTGCTCAACGAAATATTCTGTTCTGGACTTAAACACGGCTTTTGCGCAATGGTATAGAAAGAGGTGGTTGTCTACCAATTTATTAGTGGATATTAAAAGCCTTCCGAGGCGTTCGGAAACACACGTATGGAATCGATCTCTGCGCTCATGGCTCACCAAGCCTTCCATCCCTCCGAGTCGGGGAATTGGTACCACTTGTCTAGGAGGATAGCAGCACTGGCTCGATACATCGGTAGACCACCTCGAGTCATTGTAAAGACCAGATATGCATTCAATCACCTCCACGATGCTCGATAAAGTCGAGTGTGTGGTGCACCCCTCAGGAATTCATCAAAAGATCGTATCAAATTTCGGAAAAAAGAATTGCCGTTGATAACGTATTCAGTCTGCAATGGCATGTATGAACGTGGACGTCACTGTCGGAATGTTCGAAATAGAAGTAGATAACATTTTTCTTCTCCATTGCCGTTCTCTCTGCAGTAACTCTTCCATCGCTTGTCAGAAAGAAGTCACCTTGGTCTTAAAAGGTAAAGGGTGAAGTTTTCGGCGGTCCGCGTGTGTATTGCAAGCCACCTCTAGACACTGTGCTATTATATGTCTCTGGTTCGTGCTATTTCGTACTGATACATCTTTTCGGAAGCTTCTAATGGGGCTCCCCTTGGTGATTTGTAAATTTTGGTTTTCTCATCGTTATCGTCCAGGTATTGGGGAAATAAGTGGCATTCTTGATTCAATATGTATTCTTTCTTGATAAGCTTGCACGAGGTTGATAAATATATTTATTTTCGGCTAACGTTTCGACGTCTTCGTCTTCCTCAGAGCCGATGATCCGAGTCGATGGTCCATGCTTGTTGTTCGTCTCGACGTTGCTGCTTCGCCTCCGTGTCGAGCCAGATCTTCCTCAGCGAGCAATCTTCTCGAATGAGGCATCACTTACTCAGTGATGCCCTTTTATACGCGATGCTGATGGTGTATGTATAATGATAATGTCCGGTGGTAACAACTTGTATTTCTTCCGGACATCATTGCGCACATCGTGCAGAAGTCGGTGTTTTTATCAGCTAGCGCAAAGCGTAGTAATATTTCGAAACCGACTTTCCTTGAACCTCGGTGTGACTAATCAATATGTATTCTTTCTTGATTCATTTACTTTATAATGCTACGCTTCCAGAAATTGAGCTAGTTGGCCAGTGCAAAACAGCGGCAATTGTTACTTGTGCAGTCAACCGACCGACCAAGGAGGATTTAGAACGCCCAATTCACATACCTAATATGGATGATTACCCTA